CTTGATCATGTTGTTTTGGAAAAAGTGAACGTCCACGTTCTCCAATTTCATTAGTTTCAGTACTTTTAATTATCGATTCTATAAATATATATAATAATAAAATAAAAAAATTTCATTAATATATATATATATATATATGAACACCCATACACGCACACACACCCTGATTATCAGCCAAAGGTTTTTTGATTTGAATCGAATATTCACCTCGAATTTGTTCCCAATCTGATTGTTCTGGCTTATCAAAATGAAGTACTAAACGAAGACTACCATCTTTTAAACGCTGATACCGTTCTATTATATATTACAAAAACAAAAATTTCAATACTACTATCTTCTATTCCAATAAACATACCAAAAATACCATGTCCTCGATAGGTTGTTCCTAAAAATTTAGGAGAAATTTTTTCCAATTAAAATAAAATGTGCTAGAGCGGTGATTTCCTATAACTAACAAGGGTGTTGGTGTGTGTGTGTGTATGTATATGTGTGTGTATTTGTTGATATTATACATACGTTCTTCAATAGGTTCATCTGATGCCTTTATAAAATCTTTAGATTCAACAAATACTCGAAGTGGTGTTTCTGGTATTGGAACTCGATTAAATAAAACATATATAGTATGTGGACCTAAAAGAATTATCATTTAGATAAAAGATTATAGAAAAAATTCTTTTTGTTTTTTTTTTTTGAATTTGCCTGAAGCAATTGGTTCAAATTCTACAGCAACATGACCATTTGATCGTTTAAGAACAGTAATTGGTAATGATCGATTATTTGGACCTGAAAAATTCGTATTGAATATAATTCGCTTTTTTTATAATATAGATAAATCCAACCTTTGATAGCAACTTTTAATGAACCTTTTCCAGCTTTTGTAGGATCAATAACAAAACGATTTATTGTATCGATTTGTATTTGATCAGGAAAATCAATTAAATAAACTGAAGATGGATCAAATGCATGAACAATTAATGGACTACCGTCAATAGGTTCATTATCTTTTGCAATATGAATTTCAACAGGACCTAAAATATTCTCATTAATATATATATATATATATAAAATTGTTAAATTCATTGAAATTATTTTTCTTTGAAAATTATGATCATAAATTTGCCACTTCATTAGATTTCATTTTCAATAAGTTAGAAAGATAGAGTGTGAAATCTGTATATTTTTTTATTTTTTATTTTTTATTTTGGTGAATGCAAAAGAAAGACTATAAGGTCAATTAGTTTTGAATAGTAACTATATTAATCATAATTTTTTCTTTGGTAGACTTAATATGAAAATAAATAATATAAATTGATGTAGTTTTTCATGCCCTATAAAATGACATGATGATCATGTTTATTGATTAGTTTATGTAGAGTAAGATAGGTACGACTATAAGCACCTTTGTGACCTTGCATAAAGTAATCGAAAAACAAGATCATTATGTCATTTTATAGAGAATGACAATCACATCAATCTACAGAGTAATCTGTGCTTTGCCCGAAAAGTACAAATATCGACAAAGACTTGAGCATTGTTTTTTTTTTATCTATTGAATTTTTTTTGCCACAATAAAAGACAGACTAGTAAGAATGCAGAAGAAAATAAGATCGAAACCTATTACGTTTTAATTTAATAATATCCTTTTTGAAACTTCTCGACAAGAATTATTTCATAAATTCATATATTAAAAAAAAACATAAAACATACCAATAACAGTAGGTTCATAGAAAATTCTTTTTCGTCCATCAATAAGATATTCAGTTTTGTAATTAATATTTTTACCATCAGCATCTATAACAAAAAGAAATTATTGTTTCTACATTTTTTTTTTTGTTTTGTTGCTTTTAAATCTTTTACCATATATAGTAATATGAAATTTATTATCGACATCTTTAAAACTAAATTTTGAAACAATATAAACACCTGGATCATTTAAATCTGTTATATCAAGTACGTGTACTTCAGGACTTGATCGAGCATCTTTCGAAGATATTTTATGAGATTCTTTAGGAATTATTGGTGAAGTTGTTTCTCTTAGTTCTTTAATTGGAGATGGTAATTGTGATGATGCATTAGATGATACACGTGATGATCGAGTTTCAGATGTTTCACTACTTATTCTTAAGTCTTTTCCAGTTAAAAGTGGCATAAATGAATCATTTGTCGTCTGATTATTATTATTATTATTATTACTATTTTTGAATTGTTTTTCTGGTAAGAATTTATCTTCTGGTGATGGTGTAATAATAGGTGATAGTGGTACATAATCATCATCAAATGCAAATATAGGTAATAAAGCAAAATTTTTACTATCATCATTTGATATACGTATCCAATGAGTACCTTGACAAAGAAAAAAAAAAGCAAAGCCGAATTTTGCATAGAAATTTAGTTGAATATAAAGAAAAAAAATTACTTACCGACACGAACAGGTGATAAAGCAATTGTTAATTCTCCACATTCATTTTTTGAACGTTGAAATGGTAATGGTCTTTCAAATGGATCTATACAACAAAACAAAATTTATATAAGCTTTTCTTTTCTTTTTTTTCTAATTTCTATTTGATCTTGATAACTTACCGCTAATATCTATTTGTAATTTATCAATATTATCAGTAACACCTTCAAATGTATGTTCAAGAACTTCTTTAACTTGTACACGAAGTACAGGTTCAAATGAAGTATTTGCACCAAATGACATTATACGCATTGGACATATATCAAGTAGATTGTTTTGTATTCGAATAAATACTTCATGAATATCTAATTAAATAAAATCAATGAATATATTTTAATGAAAATTTCTTTACATCTCTTCTACTAATAAAACAAATGAAGGAAATTATCCGCTATTTTTCTTTTAAATTGTTGCCATTAGATGGCAGAACTACGAGACTTAGGTAGGCGCAAGTATTTGCTTTTCGTTCTATCGGATTGATAGATTGATGCAGTACATTGAAAATTTTCCCACTATCTTCGGCTGCAAATAGTAAAATTTTCTGGCTTTCCAAGCAGGGGTGTCGAGCTCCTTCATCAGTAATCTTGTTTCAATGGCTAAGCTTAGATGTCTAAGAAATATTTGCAATATAATCAACAAATCCATAATGTACTTCCTTTTTCTTCTGTGAATACTAGTGCTTTACCATTAATCTCTTTTTTTCAATAAAGTAGATTGAAATTAAATGAAAACAAATATTGGCGTACTTATTTAAGTGCACGTCTTTTGAGACAAGTTATGAATATTTTTTTTTCATATGTATCAGCTTTATACAGTGGAAATAAAAAGCATGAACTGTCTTTCATCTGAATGGTACAAAAAGATCCATTCTCTTCCTCCTCTCTGTTTTGAACCTTTCGGTAGCGATCTAATAAAAATTATTGAGCGTACTCTAGATTCAAAACGTTCCGCCGCCTATGGTCATTACTATTCAATGTTTGTTATAGGATCTTGTGGGACATTGGAAATTGTCCCGAAAATTTTCGGTACCGGACAAACAGAATTCAGAATTCGAGTTTGTTGTTTTTTCCTAATATAAAGAAACTTGTTATATTTTTTTGAATTATTCAAATGATTAATAATCAGAAACCAATTGATTTTAACTTTCTTGTTGTTCGAATCAAGTATGAATCATATAACCTTGATTATATTGATAAAATCTTGGTAATACGTTTTATTTACAATAACGTTTCATTATTTATTATGTAGAAAATAGACAATTATGTATGCGTGAAATGTGAAACTAAATGCGTCTAGAATAATAGAATAAACATTCTTTATAAAATTAAAATAATGCAATTTAAGATCTTTTGTAAATTGATATAGTTCGATAGATTGAAGAATTATTTATTCTATTATCATATGATCTCAATACAAAAAAAAATTCACTGAAATTTCATTCAGATTTTCTCTTCTGTAGGGGCAATTTTAAACTTCAAAAGAGTCAATCGATTCTTCCAATGAATATCACCTTCATATCATATAAAATACTGAAACTAACCTAGTTTCGTTGGTACATATTCAATAATAAGATCTCGACTTAAATTTCGATAGAATGCCGCTGGAATTGTATGAGCTAATGGATCTAAACAATCACAATGAATTTTATCAAAGAGAAAAATTTGTTTTTTTTTTTTCTTTTTACCTTTTACAATAACATTAACATCACTTCCATTTATTTTACTATGATCAACAATTAATCGAGTTATATCTTCGATACCACCATTACGAAATATATCTGTTTCTTCAGCAACACAATGTATATCAAATATTTGTTCATCATTATTATCATCAAAACTAAATTGATAATAATCTATAAAATTAACACAAAAAATATATTTTGTTATTATTTAATCAATAAGAGAAACAAAAAAGAAATCTTCTTGTTTTTTTTTTCTATCTTACCGGTTGCAGTTAAAGTAAAATAAATTTTCCATTCTGATGAATCTCGTTGTATTTCAATTGGAACTTCATCACCATTTGAACCTAAAAAATTCAATTAAACTTTATAATAAACAAAAACGAAAAAGAAAAATTAACTCTTACGTCTTAATCGAATTTTTAAATTTTCATTATTAGAATTAACCATAATAAAATTTAGAACATTTGGATGAATTATTCTTTCACCTTCAATTATTCTTCGACTATTTGCTGGTAAAATATCCATTGATGCAAGAATAATTGGTGAATCATCAGTACTATTATCACTAGTTTGAATTTGATGTGTACCAGATTTAATAGGTTCAAATTCAATACGCCATCGACCACCAGAATCTTGTATTCGTGTATGTTTGATTATAATCTGATCGGGATCTAAAGAAAAATATGATTTTTCTTCGAACAATTGTTCTTATTGAAAGTTTCACTTTACAGTCGAAATTTGAGCGTATACCGAAAATATCTTCTCGAAAACTACAGATTTCGGGTTGGTGTTATAATGTATTCAAGGTTTGCCGTTACAACCGAATTTTTAAAATTTTGTTTTTATAATTTTTCTGGAAGTTTTTATTCTCAACGTTTAAAATGAATTTTAATTTTTTTTGTCGAATATGAATCCGAAAATAAAAGAAATCTGGTCCTATTACTTCATTTAAAAATTTTGTCAAATACTTACACTCACACCTTAGAAAAATCTGGTGATAAGCGGAGAATGAATCTTAGATAATAAAAAAAAGCAACAACATACCAGTGACAAACATCTCAAAATCTTCATAAATATCACTTAATGATGAATCACAAATTAACCAAGCAAGTTCACCAACTTTTGTTCCTTCTAATTGTCCACCAATTAAAAATTCATGATCACCAATATCTTCTTCCTCTTCTTCACCTTCTTGTTCTTGAATACTTTCTTTATTACTTGTTGATGAATCACGAATATGAATTTCAAATGGACTACCTTCAACTGGAATTCCATTAAATGCAATTGCAATTGAATGTTTTCCATGTATTTCTGGTAGAAAACCAATATCAAATTTTCTTGCTTGAATACTTTTAAGTTCAGCTGGTAATGTTCGTTGACCATCACTTATTGTTACTTCTAAATGACCTTCACCTGCACCATGTGTATCAACACTAAAAACTAATGGAACTCCAACAGTTCCATTTTCTATAGAACTAACACGAATTTTATTTATATCAAATACATCAACATGATAAGTTGATGTTGGTTGATCATCATAAGTTATTAATACTGTATGTTGACGAGCAATATTTGGTGTAAATTTTATTTGATAATGAGTTTTTTCATTTGATACTGCTGTAATTGTATGTGGAACAATTCGACCACCATGAGATTCTGTGATAAGTACAGAAACAGGTTTTGCTTCATCAAGATCGACTATTTGTTTTTTTTTTTAAAAGAAAAGTATTTAATTAAAATTAATAGAAAAAAAAAAGAAATATATGTATGGTCTTACTAGTAAAAATAATTGGTTGACCGACAATACCAGGAGGTATGGATGAAACATGAACTTGTTTCAAATCAGTTTTTATTGGTATTGTGAGTGGACCCACTTAAATAAGAAAAGAAATATCAATATTACATGAACTATAGATTTTATATTTATTTATTGCTGTACATAATCCATAAGAATCGATTGGAATTCTTACAAAAAAAAAGAGTCCTAATGGATGACTGATAGATGACAAAATTTTGTCTTTGTGCTTATTAGTTTTGATCTTGCTGATTATTTCGATCGCTGAGAAATAATTTATAGTTATTCAAATAAATCAGTTTTTTTAAATCGAAAACCCAAGTTGAATATCGAAAAATTGATCTATGATTATTATTGCTTAGTATCGATGATACAACTTTAAATAATGATTATGCTGATAACATTTGTTATTCAAAGAGTCAGTGATAGTTCTAGCAGCACAGCAATCCAGCGATTGTTACCCTATCGTGAATACAAGTAATAAAAAGAAATCTTATTCCCGAATCTCTCTAAGAAAATTTTTCAGAAGAGAATTAAAATTTTGAAATCGAAATAACCGCTAAGAGATGTCAACTACGGTTGTTAAAGTGCAATTTCAATGTCTACGAGGGATTACCCCTCAAGTGACACTCGCTGTTTGAGCTCATACTGGATCCATAGGTAGGTCTTAGTGAGAATAGCAAAAATCTAAAAGGATTCGCCTCCATTGACTTTTGGCGTCGAATTATGATCAGTTTACTGCATTTTTGACCCATTTTAGGTATTTCTCGAAAAACTGAATAACAGAGTTTTGGTTTAAAAGTTGTGTGTAATTGATAGGTGTAATGATTCTTGGAATATTCTGAAAGTTTCAGTCGAACAGAATGTTCCTTCGTCGAATTATTGAATTGTCAAATAAACTCGATTTTTACCACATGTCTATGGCGGAGATCTATTTTTGAAAATTCAATATCTTGACGAAGAAACATTCTTTTTGGCTGAAACACTTTTAGAATTTTCTAAGAATCATCCAGCTTGTATATAGACAAAATTTTGGATCAAAACTCCATTGTTCGGCCTTCCGAGGAATTATCTAAAATAGGTCAAAAATCTAGTAAACTGGTCATAACTCGGCAACAAAAACCAAAAGGTGACAAATCCTTTTAGGTTTTTGCTTTTCTCATTGAGACTTGCCTGTGGGTCCAATATGAGTTCAAATGGTGGGTGTCACTTGCGATTTTTCTCCCTCGGTACTAAAGCTCTCTGGTGAGTAACAACTACTGATTGAAATACTTCCATTAATTGATGGTTATTTTCAAAATAAAAAAAGAAACTTTGCAGCACTGTCAATAAAACAGTGCTGAAGATTCGACGTAAGTAAAAACAATCTTAGTATCTATTTAGAGTTTTGCAAATATTTTTTAATTATAATTTGATCTCTCTCCATTAAATATATTTGCTGATGAAATGTTCTTACATAATAAAATGCATTCGTTTTCCTCTGTTAACTCAAATATGATGTACCTTCCTTCTTCTTTAATCATGAGGTCTAGTATAAATAAAGTATATAATAAAAACAAAAATTTTTCTAAATCTAATCGTTATCTAAAGCTTCGGATTTTATTGGTTGCTGCTATGTTTGAATAAATACTATTTATTCATGAATTTGTAAACGTGTATAAAAATGATACGAAGAAATGTCTACACACGAGCGCGTCATTTGATTGGCTTCGAAAAAATATATCACATTATCTAGGAAGGTTTCGATTAAAAATCGCTACCTTCTTGCTGAAACCTTGAGTCTGCCATTGCAAAGACAAAAAAATGTTAAATCTACAGTGACCCTCAAAATTGATCATACACCACATGCAAGAATATAGAGATATATTACGATAAGATATCTCTTAGTTCATCTTTTTGGAAGAGAAATTGAATTTTTTTTTTACAATATATTGTCTATATATTTTGCATGTAATGTATAAACAATTTTGAATGATGACAAAGTACGTCATTTTTTTTAAATATTTCTAGTCTGGTAGAGTAAATACATGAGATAATGAATTGATAAACTATGAAAACAAGACTATATTTTGTCAAAAACTACAATTCGATATATTGAAATCATCTTGTGATATTCAAAAAGCAAAGTCATTAGTTAGGCATATGATTTATATTGAACGTCATTGTATATGTGATTGCTGTCTAAAAACCGTTTATGATCATAAGAAAAGAATAAGTGAGGGTAAAACAATGACGTTTTGTCACGGTGTTTAATGATCTATTGATCCGCCTTCAACAATCATACATCATGTCATGATTTATAAAGTGAAGGGCGGATACAATATTTTAACTATAGACTTAAGCATTTATTAAGTATAGTGTCTACTACTAATAATAATTATGTTGAAAAACATTGAAGGTCTTTACTTTGTGGCTATAAAAAAAAATTTTCTGCAACAAAAAAAAAAAAAAAAAAAAAAAAAAAAAACTAACACAACCTAAGTCAATTGACTTACAATTATTATCTCCATTAAATGATAATGTTACGATACATTCATCGAATGTTTCAGGTATAAATGCTATTTCATAAATATGAGTATCAATACGAGTTTGATCATGTGTTATTCGATTTCCATCTTGTTTTATTTTTACAGATAAATTACCATTACCAGCATCAGTTGTATTAACTAGAAGAAAAAAAGAAATTTTGTTTTTTTAAATTAAAAAAAATAAATCACAAAGAAAAATTCTACTAGTAAATTTATAGAGTCGATGTGAAACAGCAGGTGGTAAATCACTAATATGAATTTTTGTTACATCATAAACTTGACATATATATTTTGTAATAGTAAGTTGTTTTTCTTTATCATTATAGAATATAATTTGATGATCACCAATTTCATTTGGAATAAATCGAATTGCATAAATATTGAAAGATTTTTCTTCAATTTTTCCTTCTATACAATTACCAGATGGTGCTATTATATCAACATATATATTTGGATTAAACATTGAATTTAATTTTGGTTTAATTAAAAATAATGTTCGTTTATTAATTGGTGCATATTCATAATTTTCAAATGTAAAATCACTTGAAAATACATTACATGTAAATGGTGATCCTATTAAGAAGAAAATATTTTTCAAAATATATTCAAGGTTACATTCGTTTTTTATAGAGACTAAACTCGAATCAGTAAAATTCGATTGAATTCGATCTCTAATTTATTAGACCTATCAGATTCAAAAAAAAAACAAAAGAAAGACATTACTCTCTTGATGGAGCTATAATTACTATTTTCAAACATCAAACTTCATTTATCCTCAATTGTTTTTTATTAATCAGATCAAGGTTCAAAAATTTTTATTTGTCAAATGTAAACTTAAAAACTTGACTGATCAATCCTATTTTAAATTTACTTTTAGAGTATAATCCATTGAGTTGCTTCCGAACTTGATCAAAAGGAAATTTTTAGAACTGAAATCAGCATGACAGACTCTAACTACTATAGAACTGTCTAATTTTCTAAATTTTTTCAGAGAAAAATTCTAAATTAAAATTTTATTTTTACCATAAAGATCAATTCCATTAAATTTAATATGAACATAATATGTTCCAGATTGATCAGGAATAAATTTTACACGAAAACGAGCACCACCTTCATTTTGTACATAATTTGGTATATTTTTTTCATTAATTGATACAGCTATTTCAAGATTACCCGAACCAGAATCAGTTGCATCGACTAAATATAATAAAAATAAATAAATTAAAAAACAAAAAAAAACAAAATGCTTAATAAAATATTTTATTTACTAATAAAAAAAGTCGGTGAATCAACAACAGTCGATGATGGAAAATCATATATCATAACTTTATTAATATCAAATGCTCGAGCTATATATGAATTATTATCTATTGGATCATTATCATGAAAAACTTCTATTTGAAAATCACCTAATAAAAATAAAAATAAAAATAAAAAATTTTATTTAAAAAATTTTATTATTTTAACTAACCAACACAATTCGGTGTATAAGATACGTCATATCGATTCGAATCCATTTTTGTCATAATACAAGGAATTAAATGATCATCAGGACCTTAAAAAATATTTTTCTTATTTACTTCAAATATACAATGTTATCTACACTTACATTAGGTTAGTATGAATATTTCTGTCAAGCTATATTAGAAAAAAACAAAACACCAAAAAAAAAAAAAACACCTATTACAAGTATTTGTACTGCTCGAGACCATCACCAAATTAAAAACAAACAAAAAAAAAGAAGCAAATTTATACTACACCTTTTACTGAACATTTCAAATCTCCAACACCAGCATTTTGTGTTAAAATTGTAAATGATGTTGGAGTATTAACAGGTACTGATCCAAGACCTTTACCAAATACTACAACACGTTGTGTATCCATAACATTAACACCAAAAGGACTTCCTGAAAAAACAAACAACAAAGAAAGAGATAATTTAACAAAAATCTTAAAATCACGTTTATATTGAATAAAACCATCGTCATAGATATAAAATTCTCTATCTAACCATGAACTACATGGACAACCACTCGAGATACAACAACACATCGTTTTCTTCTTGTTTCTCACAATAATGAAATGTGTACATAACTTTTGACCTCATTTAATTTCTTTCTTTTTTTTTTTCTTCGATTGAAAAGCCTTTGAACGTGATATATCTTTTGAGAATGCAAGAAGACAATACCTGAAGATAAGTTAAACAAAGATGATGTCCCATCACTAGTAGCTAATGGATGATCGAGACTAAGCATCATACACGCATATGCTTTCGTCGTATCTAGTATTTCGAATGAATTGAAAATTGAATTGTTCACTCACTCATTCACTCTCTCGCTTAGTAAAGTCGATGCGCTTGAGAGACCTGCACATATGTATACATATACACATATATATATATATATGCATGTCCACTATCGCTTTTTTTTCTTCGGTTTGCTTCGCCCACATTTTTTCATCGTCCGCCTTTCTAATGGCATGTCTATGCATCATCAGTTTTTGTTTGCGCTCTCATATATTCTCATACGGACAACAAAACAAAGATGATAACTATCAATATATTACGAAGAGAAAAAAAACGAAAAAAAAAAATTCTTCTTTAATTAATTACATACATATCTTGCAAACGTTTATTACGGGGTTCGTAGGAGATGTCAAAGAATGTCTACCTGCTTGTTCGTTACGTTCGAATGGAGTGCTAATGAAAGATAAAAGCCTTGTCAATCTAAGGTCTATATGATAATCAACCATTATTTTATGAATAGATAGAAAAAAAAATCGTCCCTTTGTGTTTTTTTTTCTTTTTCATCTCTATATATATATGTATGTATGTATGTATCGTTATTCACCTGGTACAAGTTCGCCATTGAATAAAATATTACAATAATGTAGTGTAGCCTCTTGTGGAGTGAATTGTACTTCGAAACGACTATTGCCAATAGGATTAACTTGATTTGGAATATTACGACCAGCAGAATTTACACTAATTTCAAGATTTCCTTCGCCAGCTCGAGATGCATCAACTATTTTCAATAAAAGATAAAAAAAAGAAATTATTTCTGTTTAATAAAAATTGAACTGAAATTTTTTTCCTTGAAGATAAAAAACAAAAAATAATACCATTATAAAAATTAAATAAATTCATCTCGTATAAATAAAATCTTAAACTCACTGAGAAATCTTGTTGGCTTACGAACAGCACTATCATTTATAGGTGGTGTAACAACAACTTTTTTTGGATCATAACATTTAACACGAAATGGACTTCCAGGTACTTGATTACCAGCAAATGTTACATGAACATTGTAAGTACCTACTTCTGATGGCATCCAATCAACTCGAAGTCCATCTGAAGTAAAACGTGTTGATGGATTTAATTTTTCATTAGTTGGTGTAAATACAGTAACTTGTGTATCATCTGAACTACCATGTGGTGTTTCAATAGTAAACCATGTTTGTGTACCAAGTAATGCTTGACTAAGACCAGGACCTCGTGTTGTTATATCATTGGTTGAAAATATTTGACATTCTTTTGGAAAATCTAAATTAGTATTAATTAAATATTTTTTTTTTCTGTATATTTAGATAAGAAATCTATGTATATTTACCAGGTAATTGATGGCCATTGAATTTAATTGAAATCAAATGTGGATCATTCGTTTTAGGAATAAATGTAAAAAGAAATTTTGAATTTCCTAATGCTTTAACTTGATTTGGTACTAAACCATCATTAATAGCAACTTCAAGTTGACCTTCACCTGCTTTAGAAGCATCAACTGTAAATTCAACTGGATTATTATATGTAACAAGATGCGGAATATCAGATACAATTAAACGATTAGAATCATAGGCTTTAAGAGCAAATGGTGAACCATTAATATCCATTTTTTCACCACTATTACTTGCACGGATATCCACACGATGTGTGCCTAAAAAAACAAAACAAAAAAAAAGAGAAAAATAAATAAACAGATAAATAAATAAATGTTTCATTATCCATAAATTAATATTCTATGATGTTACTGTCATTTCAATAAGAAATTATTATATAAGCCTCTAGCTATACAAAAACAATTATACTTTTCCTTCCCTTCAAATAAATTATGTTTACAATTAAACGGTATAGACAGAGAGGAAAAAAAACCGAGAGCAAGGGGGAAGCCAGAATGGTGTTTTCTTTTCGTCGTTCTTTCCTATTCGATATATATATACATATACTATACTTGAAGGTATGTCTATATGCATAATAAAATGACGATAAAAAAGAAATCGAGCGAAGAAGAGAGAGGGACGGTGATGTGCCATCCTATACATATATGAAAGATGAGCGCACACATAGTGACGTGTGTATGTCCTTGATTTTGTATATACGTAATGAAACAAGTATTATATTAGTTAGTAGGATAAAAATTGATTTTATTTTGAAAATGATAATATAGTGTATCTAATTTGCATATAAACAAATCATTATTTATCATTGAACTTGTCAAGCTTCAAAACGTTGATCATTATGTAAAATAAATGCTTAAAATGAAGGACCTACTATTATCATTAGGATATTGTAATAAATGTCGTTGAAATAATTTTAAATGTTGTTTAGATTTTTCTGTAAAACTAAAACGTTGACTTAAATATTGTTGATTATTTGTATCAATTTCCATGAACATTAGTAAAATGACTTTTTTTTTTATATCCGATGACATGATCATCATTATCTTTTCTCCTTTTTCAATCATTTGTTATTTACTCACTTACCGATCTCATTTAGAGCATAATCGATACGTGTAATGCTTTCGTTTAATTGTAATCGTTTGAAAGGAACAGAACGACCCGATGGAGCTTATAATAAAAAAAAAAAGTCAAAAATAAAAATCTATATTAAAAATACGAATTCTACCAGTAATCACTACATCAAATGGGACAGTTCGATTATGATAATTATTTGAATCCCAATGATGAATGTCAAATGATAATGGAAGTCCAATATGACCACTTGTTAAACTATCGGATACAGTAACACGAGATATATCATTAATATAACATGAAAATGGACTGCCTAAATAAACAAGCAATCTTTGACTTTGCTTTTTTTTTTTCATTTATTATTTTTACCAGGTATAGGTAATCCGTTAAATTTAACATCAATAGTATATCGTCCTGGTTCATTAGGTAAAAATGTTGCATCAAATTGAAATGAACCACATGATATTGCATCACATGGTATTCGACCATCTTGTATAACTATTTCTAATTGACCAACACCAGCTTCACTAGCATCAATATGAAATTTAACTAAATGACCAACCGTTCCACTATCAATATTTGAAACATGTATTTGATTAATATCAAATACATTTACTTTAAATGGACTACCACAAACAAGTTCAGTACCAAAAAATACGTCAATATAAGTTTCACCAACTTCATTTGGAATATAATTTACAGTCCATGTACCATTACGATTATTAATGACTTGCATATGACATGTTTGTTTTGATGGAGCTAATCAATAGAATAGAAAATTTTGAATAAATTATTTTTCAAAAATCTTACTTGTAACGACAACTTTGACATCATCATCTGGATTGAGGGCAGCAAGTGCATCAACAGTAAATGAGGTTTGAATATCTAATTGAGCTTGTCGAAGGCCATCACCGAATGCACGAACTAAACTTTTACGATTTTGTTCGCCAACTAAGCTATCATCTTCTACATTTTAAAATGTACAAATAGAGTAATTTGTTTATAATGTACAGTACTTTAACTAACATATCTATTAACTTATTTAC